GGACTCCATTTTAATGGACAAAAAAAAGTCCAAAAACTTGAAGATTGAAAAAAAGGGAAAAATGTTTCGATTGTTTCAATTGTTCACAATCAATTACTTTATTAGATTAACAATCAACATAATCTTGTTGGTTGTGTGAAAAAAGATTTTCATTTTTAAGTAAACAGAATGAAGTTTCAGTTCTCAATCTAATCTCATGAATGATGATTATTTGCATTTTTTGTCTTTCCTCATTTACCTTTTGTTCAAGTCAACATTTGCAATCAATCAGATTGACAATTAATCGGATAATCAGATTTGATGAACAGCAAGGCCAATGGAAGGCGAACAAACGCAAATTTCCTTTAATACAGTTAATAATAATATTCACACAAAATCTGGTGATAACTTTGCTCACTCTCTTCATCCTCACCTGATTTACCTTGAGGCATTGATGATAATAACCATTGGCAAGTTACACGTAAAAATTGATTCAATCAACCTTTTCTTGTTATTGACTTTTTTCTTCAATGAAAAGTCTTGAAAAGAGAAGTTTTCAAGTTTAAAAAAATGAAATGAGTTGCAGATGAAGGAATGGTGATAATGATTTGAGAGTAAATTGGAATGACCAGAAGAAAAAGATTTAACCACAAAAATTGACTGATCATTTGAAAGGTGGACCACCAACAATTTGCTTCTCAACTGAATGATGATTATAATTTGGTCAATGTGATGAATCAAGGAATGGAAAAGAGAGATTGGTGAAGATGGAAAAGGCTAAAGGTATGTTTAATTAGAGACTAATTTAGATGAAATACACTTGAAGATGAAACATGATGATGCATCAACTGGAAATGAAAAGTATCTTTAAACCATCATCATGATGAGGTTGTTAAGATGATATGTGCAAATGCAATAAGCTTGTAAAGATGGCCAAACGCGAAATGGGATAATTGATTGTTGGCCTCAGGGTAAGATAATCAATCCATCTTTCAACCTCCTCTTCATATCACCTTATCTTGCCCTCTTCACCATCATCCCTAATCATAATCTTTTTGATCACCATTTTGAAGCAGCCTCAATCTGTAAATTAATCAAGTTAACAGCTAAAATAAAGATCTAGTAATTGTTAGCACCTAACGATTCACAAAATGCTACACAATAATAATGTTGTACCTTTTGCTTCACTGCGTTTTCAGGTTTAAAGGTTACCTTTAAGGTCAATCTTTGGATTCTTTTCGATTTTCTCAGCTTTACATTCTGGCCTTATATTAATCCATCAACACTTATCAAATTGCAACTGCATTACGCTTTTACCTTTAATTTTACTCTAACCTTAAATTTTCATTTTCAACACAAAAGTAAATAAAAATTTACTTTTTCCCGGTAAATTTGAATATTTTTTTCTCTCGACTTTTGCATTTCATTTTGATGTTTTACTTGTGGATTTGTTTTGATTTGTAATGATATTGATTAACCATCGACAATTTATTTTTAGATGAATATCAATCAGAGTTTTAATTTTGATTTGTGTTTGGATAAACATTCCGTTGAAATATTGATCAGTAAATGGTTGATGTTGAAAACATGACTTAATTGTGATACAAGTTTGAATTGAAAAAGGAGAAAAGGTTGAAAAAATCAATAGATTTAAGTGTTGATCAGGTCAGGTCAAGATTAATTGTTTTGATTGGATTTGATTGAGTTTGATTGGGACAAATTGAGTGGTTTCGCTCGTCTAAATCAATGGTTTTATCACGCCGGTTTAACCTTCATCTTTATTTTGGAATTGAATCTAATTAAATTGTTGAAAAGCCACTTTTAACAATCAAATGTAATTATTTTACCAATTAACTTGCTTTTTCATTATTTTTTTGTTTCTTTTCTCCTTTTTTTCGAGAAAAATTTCCAATTTAAACTTGCAGTTAACTTCATTTCATTTGGTTAGACCAGTTGATTGGTGGTTTCATTTGAGTTCATTTAATTTGTTCACACTTTCAGTTGATGATTTACATTAATCTAGTCATGTTTATTTCCAGTGATTATCTTAATTCATCTCAATTACGGTAAATTTGTTTACTTCTGTAACTGTGATTTTGTTTACGTTGATTAACTGGATTATTACTCGGATTTAGATGATCAATAATCTCTGGTTAACCTTTTATTTTTTCATTGGATCCTGGTTTTTAATGGAAACCAGTTTATCAGGTAAAGTTAATTTCATTTTTAATTTACTTTTATTCAAAATCTGGTTTATTCCAAAGTCGCCATCTATACTTTAATTGGTAAATTGTTGCCTTTGTTAATTATTTTCTGCTTTTCCCCCTAAAAAATTAAACATCACTAGATGGCGACTACCCTTGACTCTTTTTTGGGTTAAACTTTTACGTCATTTCTTTGTTCTTAACTGTTCTTTTTTTGCTTGTTAGATTGTTATGAATCTGATTGGAATTCAATAAATACTCGGGTTTATGGTGGTACTCATGCCAAGGATGCTGAATATCCGTGGATTGCTCATCTCAGGTAAATATTGTTTTTATATATTATCGGTTTTGAATTGGAATCATGATGATCTTCTGATTTGTGTTTTTTTTGTGAGATTCAGTTTTTTTTGCTTCCTTTTCTTTGTGGTCAAACAAAACTGTAAAACAAACTTTAGGTTAAGTGTTAATACAAACATGATTCTTACCTTTGGGTCGGTGACTTTTTAGTCTCAAGTCCATCTTTACCTTATAAATCTCATACGTTTATCCTCACGCAAAAAGTTATCATCAGCTTAAGCAGAAGAGAAAATAAAAATCTTGCCTCATTTATTGTTTCCAACATTTACCTTTCGTAATAATCATCATCATCATCTTGGTTACAGTTTCGGTCTCACTCAATGCAGGTCACAACACAAAATACAAAGCTTTTTTTGCTTCTTTTTTCATTTCTTTTACAACAGACTCATTATCATCATTATTTTTTTCATTATTATTATGATTGCAAATTGGTGACCAAATAATGATAATAACCAGCAGTACGTTTATAGTGAAAATAATAATGGTTGAATGGTAATGGTAAAGCAAGAAGGAAAAAAACAATGTATTTCAATTGGTTGTTTTAATGTTTTTTTATTTCTATTTTCCGTCCATTTCTCGTAATAAGGTTTTTTATTGGTAAAAATACAACTCGCTATGGTCTATGTGGAGGTTCATTGATAGACGAATGGCACATAATTACGGCAGCCCATTGTATACATGATTCAAGCAAAAAACTGCGTCCCATTGAAAGTGTTGAGGTTTACTTGGGAGTTAAAGATTTAACTGCTCTTAATAAACCATACAAAGTGTCCAAATATTTTTATCCGCATAATTATAACCAAGAGACACTTTACAATGACATTGCGATCCTTCGTTTAACCAAACCAGTTGTTTTCACAGAAAAGGTTTCACCCGTTTGTTTAGCTAATTCAATGGGTAAACCATTTCTCACCTTGACTGTTGCTGGCTATGGTAGACTTGGACCTAATCGTAAACCGGCCACATCTCTGATGAAGGTTGATGTCGAATACATCGACAGTAAGTATTGTTAAACCAACAATTATAAGCCCAAAAGATAATAAAAATTTCGTCACTATTAATAATTCTCATGATAGCATATTAGAAGTATTATAACAATAGAGAGCAAGTCATTCAATTCATAGTTTCCTTCCCAAGTTCATTATACTTTATTATCACCATTTGGGTTAACTATTGATCGATTGAGATAATCAAATTTGATAGTAATATCTTATTACTTGTTGATTCATTTGTTTTTTTTCTTATTTCCTGCTATTTGGGGAGAACAGAAGAATCTTGCAATAAGATGTTACGTGATTTTATAATACGAATGAACCCTGATATCGAATCTCGTGCAAAAAAATTTGAAATGCCTAAAGTACATGGAAGTCACATGTGTGCTGTGGATACCTTTAGTGGAGCCGATGCTTGTTCAGGAGACTCCGGAGGACCTTTGATGTACAAAGATCATAAAGATGGAAGGTATTATGTTGTTGGCATTGTTTCTGGTGCCATGGATGAATGTGGTGATCCAAGGACACCAGGATTTTATACAACTGTAGCCAAATTTAGACCTTTTATTGAAAAAGTCGCTCCAGGAACAACTTTTTGTCAAGTTTAAATAATGAAATCAGGCAAAAATTTTCGTTGACTGACTGACTGATCTTCAATACAAGCAGAGCCACGCACGGCTTCCCAACTAACCAGCAACTGTAAATAACCTAGAATGCAGCCTCTAGACATCAGTCCAACAATAACAGCAACAACAGCAACAACAAAAATGGGGTTGTACAGTATGTACGACTTGTGTGAAACTAATGGTTCATCAAATAATTCACCATCACCACACCACCATCTTCACCATCCATCGCAACATCATCATCATCATCCTTCTCAGCATCATCATCATCATCCTTCTCAACATCATCATGCTGTGACAATCAGTGACAATTCATCACATCATTCACTTCAATCATCATCCACAACTGTGAACAATTCTTCAAGCCCAACCTCATCACACACACCATCAACCACCAACTCATCTTCCCCACCAGCAACAGCCGCCGCCGCTGCTGCTTCTACCGCTGCTGCATTGGCAGCAAAAAATGAACATGATAGAGTGAAAAGGCCAATGAATGCTTTTATGGTTTGGTCAAGGGGACAGCGTCGGAAAATGGCCCAAGAAAATCCGAAAATGCACAATTCTGAAATTTCTAAAAGGCTTGGTACCGAGTGGAAGGTATTATCTGAAATTGATAAGCGGCCCTTTATCGATGAAGCCAAAAGACTACGAGCAGTCCACATGAAAGATCATCCAGACTATAAATATCGACCACGTCGAAAGACCAAAACTTTAATGAAAAAAGATAAGCCTTATTCACTAGCTAGTGGGTTAGATCCTTTAACTGGGGACCCATCACGATCTTCGGCGGGGCCTACAAGTGCTGCAGCCGCATTAAGTGTATCTCGTGATCTCTATCAAATGAATGGATGCAGTTATCCACCAGTATCCATGCATGATTACCAACAACATGCCGCTTACGGTTCACCCCAACCTGGTCTATATACCAGATATGATATGACCTCAGCTCCAATGGCCATGAGCTATATGAACAACTCAAATTATTCCCACCTGCCCATGTCAACTTATACGTCGATGGGAAGTTCTTGTGCCCCTGGACCAGAGATAAATTATTTACATCAGCCTAGCTGAATATTCAACTTTTAATCAATATTGTAATGCTTTTCACTTAGTTCATTTTGACAATAAAATTTGTGAGTAAATTTGTTTCAAATCTGACTGAGTTTCGGTTTTGTCTAGGCGCTTTCTGCGTGATGAATTTGAATAAACCTTTTCCAACACCATAAGATTATCGATAAATATAGAAATTTTCCTTTCTCCATTCAACTGAAATTCAATTTCTGCATAATTAACCAAACTGATAAAGAACCACTTTCATTGCGATAGAAATTTTTGAAAACCTGTCTGAAGTTTTGATAGTTTGATGAAACCATTCTCTTGTTTTAGATAATTTTCTTTCCACCCGAGAAGTTTGGTGGAGCTAACAATACATGAAGATCATGACGAGCTTTTTCTTCAACTGACCGCGCTTTGACCAAAGTACCACAACTCTCTTCAAGTCGAGAAAGTGATAGCCAAAGAGAAATCGAAGTTGGATTAAATTTGATTTCTATAAATTAGTAAATAAGTAAATTTTTAACCAAAAGAGTTTATTTAGAGTGTTTCTTTTTTCATCTCAAGGTATTTTATACAGACCAACACAGGCTACATTTATTGCAGCAAAATGTTTCAATAGTCATTGGCATCAGCAAATTATGAACAATTATTGAGATTCCTTATATTTTCTCACAATAATGGTTTGGAAAGATTGAAAGATCACATTGTGGGCCGCTATACATAACAAAAAAACATCTTTACTCTCGCTCATTCATTTTGATCCTCTACTTGAGCTTTAATGCTGTTTTTTATCAAACTTACAACCTTGAGTATTTTCATCAGCTTTTCAATTGATCTTCCTGCAAAGTGAAATTGTTTTATTATTCTTGTTAGATTAACAATTTAATCCAACTTGTGAACAACTTGTCACATAAATAAATATTACCTACAGTGAAACATTAACCTTGAAGATTCATTTTTTTCACCAAACAATTTACTAAAACATTAACACAACTGTTAAGCGTCTTCACAAAAATCAATCCAACAAACTATTTAGTCTGCCAAAAATGCTTGTCAAGTGATTATAATGGCGATTTAAATGAGACTATTTGATGATCATGGAGAGGGATCAGTAAAGCAAATCAAATACGATTAAGAGTGTTTAAGAGCACGAAAAAAACACTTTCATTGTTATTCCGAATCGGGTGAATCGCTGCAACCACTTGATCAACTGACCACTGAATTTTTAAAAAATCTACAAAAAGTCATTTTTGTATCTTAAACACTAGACTGGGCAGCTTTAATCAAACTACTTTGGTACAATTAGGATTGGGTTTTGTTGATCCAACAATCGATGGCAGTTGCTTAAAATAATATTAAATAAATGGCTATTACTTTAACAAGTTAACTCTATACTATCACATGGGAATATCAACCTTAAATCGGTTACTATTTAATTGAATTAAGGAAGAGTGAGAAGATGATGTAAGATGATTTGATTTTCCCTTTTTCTTCATTTTCTTCATTCTTCCTTTTCTTATTATTATTTCATTCCATTAATTTGTTGTTGTAAGGTTGGAAATGAAAAAAAATGGTTTAGTTTGTTGCACTGAGGGTTTTTATTGCAATCAAGTTAAACATCGTTCAATGTTTTTTTCCAGTAAAAGCAAAATCAAATTGATTCAACAGAAATCAAATAAAATGAAAGTGTAATAATCATAATAATAGTTGCAATAATGATAACCATAACAATAATAATATGCCACCTAAAATGGACATCTTTATTGAGTCAAATGTTGTCCTCAATAAGATGATTCCCTTAAGGGCAGAGTTTTTTTTGTTAGGAAAACCAATAAATGTCAAGGATAAAAGTATCCCATAGATTGGTATGTTGATTTGATCCGTTTTATATACAGTCCCAACTATTGATAATTATGTCCTTTTCAATAAATCATATTCAACGAGAAGAATTTCAAAAGATGTGTAACTTTGATTAACAAAGTATTGAGCAGCAAAGTGAAGATATTCAATTTAAAGGCTATTGATAACTAGATGACGATAGTTTCCCATGGATTCCTTTAATTTCAATGTTTGCTTGATGTTAATTCCTTTTGATTGATCCTCGAGTTTGGATTGACGAGGTTTGGGTTGGAAAAATTTAAATAATTACCAGAATTGAGTGAATATTGAATGTTAAATGTAAATAAAATTTTATTGTTTTGATCACATTTAATATTTGAAAATTGACAATAAAATTTGTGAGTAAATCGTTAAGTGATGAAAATTTCGAATAAGAACGAGCTTCATTATACCAATAATTGATTCGTATATTCATTATTATATTTAACCAAAGTACAAGCTTGAAAAAATTTGATTTTTTTAGACTTTTTAAGTTATGTTTATGAAGTTATTAAAATCTAAATCTGGCATGATTAAGTGTCTTTTGTGATTTTGCCGGGTAATCTTTTACTCATTCGTTTAATAGCTTGAGTGCGTCTTCGTCTTGACCTAAAGTCCACTCGAGTTTAGCTGATTTTTTAGCAGCCATTTTTTAGCTGCCTCTGAATATCTGTGAAACTAATTGAGATTGATGTAACTAAATTTTGAATGACGAAAGATATTGACCACCAATATTCATCACAATACGAAAATCAGATCAAATTCAATAAAATAACAAATTTGCGAGAGATAATGAATCCTTAATAAATAAAAACTGCGATCTCAGAACTTTTTTACAATGTTATTAATATTAATAAAACGCACATCAAAAAGGTGAAAGAGTTACATCCATATTAGATTGTTTTGAATACAATTGTAAATGTTTATTATATTTAACCAAAGTACAAGTTTGAAAAAATTGATCGAGATCGATGACATTTTCCACTGACAAGAAATGATGAAGAAGATGAAGACGAAGATGATCTTCCAATCATTGGTAAAGTTGAAATATTGGGGGATATTAATATCAGTTAATTGTATCGGTTTAACATAAGCTGCGGTTGAATTGTTTCCAGTTTGAGATAAAATTGAATTTCTTTTGGATACTGTGGAATCAATTGGTATTATTAGGCAAAAATTTTCGTTGACTGACTGACTGATCTTTAATACATACAGAGCCACGCACGGCTCACCAACTAACCAGCAACTGTAAATAACCTAGAATGCAGCCTTTAGACATCAGTCCAACAATAACAGCAACAACAGCAACAACAACAATGGGATTAGACAGTATGTATGACTTGTGCGAAACAAACGGATCATCATCACCACACCACCATCTTCACCATCCATATCAACATCATTATCATCCTTCTCAACATCATCAGCATCCTTCTCAACATAACGTTAGTGACAATAATTCTGTGCATCAAAATTCATCAAGCCCAGCCACATCACAGCGCTCACTCACACAATCAACCACCCACTCATCTTCCTCACCAGCAACAACCACTGTGACTGCCGCTGCCGCTGCTGCCCTCGCAGCAAAAAAGGATAGAGTTAAACGGCCAATGAATGCTTTCATGGTTTGGTCAAGGGGACAGCGTCGGAAAATGGCCCAAGAAAATCCGAAAATGCACAATTCTGAAATTTCTAAAAGGCTTGGTACCGAGTGGAAGGTATTATCTGAAATTGATAAGCGGCCCTTTATCGATGAAGCCAAAAGGCTACGAGCAGTCCACATGAATGATCATCCGGATTACAAATATCGACCACGTCGAAAGACCAAAACTTTAATGAAAAAAGATAAGCCATATTCAATGGCTAGTGGGTTAAATTCTTTAACCGCGGGCCCATCACAATCTTTGGCGGGACCTGGAGCCGCAGTATCTCGTGATCTCTATCAAATGAATGGATGCAGTTATCCACCAGTATCCATGCATGATTACCAACAACATGCCGCTTACGGTTCACCCCAACCTAATCTTTATAGCAGATTTGATGTGACTTCAGCTCCAATGGCCATGAGCTATATGAATAACTCAAATTATTCCCACCTGCCCATGTCAACTTATACCTCGATGGGAAGTTCTTGTGCCCCTGGACCAGAGATAAATTATTTACATCAGCCTAGCTGAATTTTCAACTTTTAATCAATATTGTAATGCTTTTCATTTGTTCATTCTGACAATAAAATTTGTGAGTATTTTCACGTGTTCAAAATTTTCAAGTGTTAGTATGTCTTATGTGGGAATCGGTAAATTATGAGCAAGTAAAGCAAGAATTTCGTCTGTTTTCAGTTTCCAATTTTTTATATCCTTAGATATTTTGCACCAATTTTCTCCATGACGAGGTTCAGTGTCAACACATTTATTTTTAACTTCTTGTTGTTGAGCTTCAGTTCCGTGCATCAATTCAAATTTATAGAAATATCCCCAAGCATCACCAAAATCAGGATCAACTTTGATAGTTTGATGAAACCATTCTCTTGTTTTAGGCAATTTTCTTTCTACCCAAAGAAGTTTAGTGGCAGCTAACAATACATGAGGATCATGTTCACATCTTTTTAGAGCGTCATAAGAACGACTTCTTCTTTGAGGTCGATTTTCCATGAAAATAGCTTCAGCCCATAAAATTCCAGAGTTTGGACATTCTTGTAAAGCTTTAGCCATCATGACCATAGCAACATCTTTCCCACTTGGACTACCTCTCACTTCAATCCTAATTGCTTCAAGCCAAAGTTGATCATTTTTAGGATTTTTAAGACGAGCCTTTTCCATAACTGACCGCGCTTTGACCAAAGTACCACAACTCTCTTCAAGTCGAGAAAGTAACAGCCAAAGAGGAATCGAAGTTGGATTAAATTTGATTCCCTGTTGATAGGCCAGACGAGCATCGTCAAATTTGCTTTCACTTTGGGCAATTTGTCCAATCATCATCCAAAGTTTAGGGTATGTCGGGTAATCTTTTACTCCTTCATTTAATAGCTTGAGTGCGTCTTCATTTTGACCTAAAGCCCACTCGAGTTTAGCCGATTTCATGAAAACTCTAGCTGAAGGAGCAGAAGCACGAGCTTTAGTTAGAAGCTTTCTGGCACCTGAATATTCAGACAATTCAGATTCAAGTTTCACAGCAGCTAACCAAATCTCTTCGGAATTAGGATTTGCCTTGAATGCATCGGAAAGCGTTTGCCGGGCTCCTTCAATATCTTTAGCTAGCCATTTACTCTTAGCTAACATAAGCCATAATATTTCAGCTCTAGGACAGGTCTTGACAGCTTCAGCCAAAAGTTTTTCCAAAGTTTCTCTTGTTCCATGATTTTCTCAAAGTAAGCAGCACGAAGCCAAACACTTTTTTTCATAGGGAAAGTTTTAATTGCAATTTCGAAAATAGCTCGTGCACATTCACAAGCACCTTGATTAGCAAAATTTTCTGCATCTTCCATCCAAGTATGTTTTTTGTCTTCATCTTCTACACCAATATGGGCGATAGACTTAATTATAGCACGACAAGTTTTAATTGATCCTGATTTTTCAGTATCAATGGCATCATTCATCCAATGCTCTCTATTGATTTCAACTCCATTAGCAGCCAGTGATCTTAATGCTTTGCCAATGATAGCTTCAGCAGCAACCTCTTTACCATAAGCCTCCTCAAGTTTAGCAGCCGTTATCCAGATTTGTCTATCGGTTGGAATATTTTCTCTGGCTTTATTCAATACTTTTCTTGCATTTTCGTAGTTTTCTAATCGAGCAAGAGCTAACCAAAGATCAACAGACGTAGGACAACATTCGACAGCTCTACTTAAAAGAATTTTTGCATCTTCCGGCTCCTCAAGCTCAACAGCAGCTTTCCACAGTCTAACTGAACCAGGTATATGTTCCAGACCTTTTCGGAAAACTTTTTTCTTGGCTTTCAGTTCTACCTCGAGATCAGCTGCTTTTATCCAAATTCGAACTGACTGGGGCAATTGTCTAACAGCTTTAGTAATAAGAGCTCTAGCTAGATCAGGAGGCTGAAGACGAGCAGCTTCTAACCAAACATCTTCAGATTTGGGACACATTTCACAGCCTTGTAATATAAGACTTCTGGCAGTTTGCAATTTACCTGTGACTTCTTCTAAACGTGCCGAAGCAATCCAAGCAGGTGGATGGTTAGGATTGGTTTCTCGAACGGATTTTAACAAAAGACGAGCTTTCTTTATATCATTTATATCAGAACCGTGAGTAGGTATCATAGATTGAAGATCAGTTAAATAACCTTTGGGATCGACAACGGTTTGGCCAGTCACTGAATCAGAAACTTGGTTTAATCTAATGTCCATTAAAGTGTTACGAGCCTGTCCGATTTTTCTTAAGTCTAAGTCTCCAGGAGTAGTGAGACCAGTGGCAATGCCAGAAGACATAGGTGTAACCATACCAGTATTAGGATCAATAGAAATATTATCAGGACCAGCTAAGCTAGCTTTATGAGCTAATACAGAATCAGGTAAAGGTGTAAATTTCTCGGCGCGAGGATTACGTAGTTTCTTATTTCTGGAATCACCAACTTCAGGAATTTTCATCCATTCCTCTTCCGAGAGTACAGCAAGTTCCCTTTTCAAGTCACTGAATTGTTGTTGAATTTTGGGTCTTTCTTGACGATATTTTTCCAGTTCTTTTCTCAGTTTATTTTCCCTATAGTCTTTGCGTTTTTCATCCATTCTCTTATCAACCGACTCATAAATAGCATCGGCTTCTTCATCATCTTTATCATAAGGATCTTTACTAAACAATGATCCACCGTAACCAGCAAATTCATCATAATTTGATTCGTTCAGATCTTCCTCTTCTTCCTCTTCTTCTTCAAATTTCCCTGAAGAATTTGGCTTTTTAAACTTCTTAGGAGGCAAATGGCGATCATCAGGGACATCCGATGGGTCTCGAGCAGGACCAATATCAGATCTAGTCGTAAATCCGGTAGCACCACGACCAACTCCAGCAACATAACCCAAAGGAGCTGGTAAACCTATGAATGCTTTCTTCTTTTTAGAGACGAGTGCTCCAGGATGTGGAACATTTGGCAACATTGCCATGGTTGAAACAAACTATTTAGTTGAAAAATAACAATTGGTAAAAAAGATTAACATAAAAAACACATGAATGAATTGAGGTAAACAAATACCTAAAATGAAACAAAACTTAACAGGAGTCTAGAAATGCAAAGGCACCCGACTCTACGCATGCTCATGTACTTAAAATTTTTGCGATCTTTTTAAAATCATTTTGTAGGTTTATTGATGATTTTAAATTACAATGAGTTAATCAGTTAATATCAGGTTTTGAATCAATCAGCTCATTTTGCTTGTTAAAAATCTAATTATCATCTCAAAAATGCATATTATTATGAGTTTTTCAGCAAATTGAGGAGATCCCCCACAATTCCCCCACTTTACGCTGTAATCGTACCTGGCTTGATGATTATCTAAGTATTTTTAGAGTGGGATTTGATATAAGAAACATGGTAAGAATCGATGAATGGAGCCAATTCAATCTTAAATTACCAAAAATAATCAAAAACTGAATTAGAAATTAGAAGCTTTATTGAATTAGAAATGAAACAATCAAATGTGATTCAATGTCTTCTAGCTGATTGAATGAGCTCTCATTCCTGTTAATATGTGATATTTATCAATAAAAAATTTTGTCCTTTTAAGCTCAAAAATGCAAAATTTTATCCTGAAAATCAACAAAATTAAATCTAATATCTTGCAATTTATTGAAATTATCAACTTTTTAAATGTAAGCAAAAAGTTTAAGTACTTGAGCATGCTCAAATGACGGGTGCCTTTGGTTTTCTTGAATCCGTTGCCTTGGTTATCAAAGACGCTAAATGCTCGGCTTTGATTGGTTAGGTGCCTTTGCATTTCTAGACTCCTGTCAAAACTTATGCTTAGAGATTTATTGGTTACCGACAATCGGTTATTTGGTTAGAGTAACCGGTAAATGGTTACACAAGATTAGATATCGATACCAGCTAAGTTTTAACCACCTCGCACAAAATACTAGTTTTCAGCTGTGCTTGACTTAAGCCAGCTAAAGCTACAAGCCGATTAAACTGCCGCTTTTGGCCGAAATCATAAGAAAAAATTTCAATAAGTTTTTGATGCAATTTTCTGAAAAAAAACTTCTCGAAAATAGATACGTTTGGTTAGTATACCAGTAACTGTGATACTTTTATCCTCGGTTACTTGCTGCTTATGAATTCCTTACCGCCAAATTTGAAAATAAAAATTTATTTATGCTTTAAAATGAAAAAGAAGAACCTTTTTTATTAATAAAATCAATGTTATTCAATGGAACATGTAACCTTTGAATATCTCTGAAACTAATTGAGATTGATGTAACTAAATTTTGAAAGGCGAAAATACTGACCACCAATATTCATCACAATACGAAAATCAGATCAAATTCAATAAAATAATAAATTTGGTTCGATTTGAGAATCCCTGATAAATAAAAACTGCGATCTCAAAACTTTTAAGATGTTATTAAAAATAAAACGCACATCAAAAAGGTGAAAGAGTTACATCCATATTAGATTGTTTTGAATACAATTGTAAATGTTTATTATATTTAACCAAAGTACAAGCTTGAAAAAATTTGATTTTTTTAGTCTTTTTAAGTTATGTTTATAAAGTTATTAAAATCTAAATCTGGCATGATTAAGTGTCTTTTGTGATTTTGCCGCAGAAGAAGATGTTTGTCTCATAAATGATCTCGGTTCATTATTTGATGTGCCATTATTAACACGCCGAGATGCACAATTTGGTGCATTATAAGGCGTTCGATGAGATTTATTTGAATACAAATCAGGTGACTGTGAACTAGTTAAATAGCTTTTAGATCGATCGAATGTTGGTCTAGATGAGAATCTATCAATTGATCCATTTGGAGGAGATCGTCTTAAATTACTTGTACTTCTACCAACAATTCGATATAATCTGGATTCTACCGAGTCATTTCTCTTTGATCCAGGCAAGTTAATCATATTCAATTCATCTCTAGATTGTTGACTATCAATTATATCAGATTGGTTGGAAGATGCATCAGTTTTTAAAGGTTTTGGAGGTTTCGTCAAACTATCTTTTCTAACAGGAACACGAGATCGATGACTTTTTCCACTGACCAGAGATGATGATGAAGATGAAGACGAAGATGATCTTCCAATCAATGGTAAGGTTGATATATTGGGAGATATTACACCCTTTTCAGTTAATTGTACCGGTTTAACATAAGCTGCGGTTGAATTGTTTCCAGTTTGAGATAAAATTGAATTTCTTTTGGATACTGTGGAATCAATTGGTTTGCAATTGATTGATAAATTGTCTAAAAATTTAGGTCTATGGCTTTTGTTTTCCCCAACTTCATTGTCAACTTCAACTTGAGTTGGGGCTATTATGGCTGTCGGTTGATTAGATTGATTAGTGAATATTAGACGACCTTCTGAACCACGAATCTCATTTTTATCCAATAATTTCCAATATTTTCGTACATTTTTAGGTTCCAATTGTTGGATGATTCTTCCATCAGAATTGTTATTCTCTTCCTGTGTTTCTGGTTTCGATTCTGTACAAATAGGTTTTCGTTCAGTTTTCTTGATAGAAAAAGACTTTCGACTAGGTGCCAATCTATCAAAAGGACAATTAGATGAATTCTGGTCTTCTTGTTTAATTTCATTAGCTGTTGAACCAGAAATTTTACTTGATTCTTGTAATGGCTTTGGTTCCTCTGGAATCTCAAAAATATTAGACTCAATATCACACGATCTTAAATTAACAGAGTAAACTCCATCTGCGTTAACTGTTCGCTCCCTAGTCGATTCAGGATGGTACGAATTGACTGATCGATTTGCTGATCGACGTCCACTTCCTACTCGACGAAGTGATCCATATGCAGAATCATAAATTGATCCAGATAAATCATTAGTACTTTTAAGTAGTTCCATCAATCCAGTTGCCAAATCATCCTCATTGTTGGTTTCATTTAATGCTAACCGACTAGCTCTTATTTTGGGTAAAGTATTACTTCCAGAAAGTATAAGTTCACCCCCATTGGCCTCAGTTTCCGTGATTACATATTTGCGATTTTCATTGGATCCATTAGTTAAATGTTTACGTCTTCTTTCATTTTTGGCTTCAGCTTCGCGTCGACGATCATTTTCATCACAAGCAAGTTTAAATCTTTGACAAAATGAAGCAAAAACTGAGAAACATTCATCCAATTTGAATGTTGATACATCTTCACAAAGAAATTGAGCCAAATCAATCCGTGTTCTTTCAATTTCAATCTCAATTGAAACTGTTAAACGATCAATCTCTTTTGATGCAGCATCAAGAAATCTCCTCATTTCAATGAAAAAATGCTCCATAAATTCATTTAGAGATGAAATTGATTTTTTCAAACTCGTAATTTTACTTGAAATCGCTTTGATCTCATCTTTCAATGAGTCAACCGATATCCTGCAAAGTAAAGTAATAAAAAATAAAACATTAGATTCCATTCCAACAATCCACTTGAAAATTATTCAATATGCAAATTATTTCAAAGTAATCGTTAAAAAACACATAATCTACTCACTTAGCAGCCTCTTCAAAACTACTTGAGCATTCTAGGAATCCATGAATATTTTTCTTGACCGCTTCCAAGGCAACGTAATGGATTAAACTTATACCTGGCTTATTACCTCGGATTTCGGATAATTTAGTTAATGACATCATTTTGAATCCAACAGCATCACCAGCATATCCACCCTGAAATCAAGAAGAAAAGTCAAATTAAATATTGAATTGGAAAAAATTGCTTCGAGATCTTACCGAGTTGAGAAAATTTCCAGCTACAAGAATAAGGTACATTACATTTCGAAGATTTTCATTTGTTTTCAGTTCTGTAATGAAAAATATAACGTTAGAGTTGATTGTGATAATCAAATATTCAGATGGAAATAATGTAACAAGCAATTACCATTGGCAGCGGTCTTAATGATTGATATCGATGGCTCCAAAGATGAAATATTAGAGTCAAACTCTTCTTTAACCAACATGCATTCGATTCTCAATTGGTAACTGAAATAAAAAAAATAATTATCAATTAATAGATTGTCAAATCAAATAAATTATGGCTGCCATCTTTAAATGGCAAAATTTGAAAGATCTAAAAGGTCTAAATATGATTTCGCCTTCAACTTTTGATTTCTGGACAATTTACAAAATATTTAAGGCTAATTTTCAAGGTCACCTCAACCTAATTATTTTACTTAATCAAATTTAATTTCTGAAGCAAGGTTAATAAAATTAAATATTTAGGAGAAAATAATGTTAATTTTAGGCTAAAAGTTGAAAATGCAAGACAAAAAATGAATCGATTCAACCCACGAAGAAATGTCAATGAATGAATGATCTTTTTCTAAATACGGAAATTAGAAAATTATTGATTAACATTTCCTACAATCAAAAGTATCAATTGATATTATTTGAAAATATAAAATTATGATAAAATATTATGTGATAATATTTTCAGGTCTGAAAGGGAAATATTATTTTACAAGACAAACAGCTTGACTAACACTATTTGTGCCATTTGAATATTATTATTGTAAAATTAACATTTATCAACAGTATAAAGATAATTATCTACAATCAGATGTAATCATGATCATTAAATGAATAAACATTGTAATACACAAAAATAGCCTTGATTACCCACTAATCAATTCGCCTTCACTTGATAACAATTACGGTTGATTGTAGGATGCAGAGGATGCAGATTATTTCTACCTGTTTCAGTCGATATGCTCAATGAATCATTTTAATTAGTAATTGATCTTGTTAGTGGCTTAATTAGTCACTTTGATTAGGAATGTTAATCTCGTGAAACAGTTAGTTAAGAAACACTTGAAGCCAACTGTTTTTCACTTACTTGGGAACTTGAATTAATTGAGTCAAAAATTTTTCAGCAATTGGCATCCTTTGTAAATCGTTGATGTGATTTTGAAGCTGCTCTTTTTCACTCAATTCAGGCAATAACTTCATCAGGCTTCTCAATCTTTCAGATCCAATTGCTCCATGATCACCATTTGCTATTAAATTTATCAATTCTTCGGTAGAACCGCGAAACTGTTTAAGAAATATGTTCACTGAAAGTGACTTTTTACCATCCAAAATATTTAGATTAACTTCAGGTAGTGGAACATATTCACCGCTATGCCTTTTGATTAACTTCCTTTCCAAACTATTACAAGGTGATGAAAATGAGCCATCTAATGCCATCAATCGAACTGGTAACCTTGGTGAACCAGAACATGAATTTGATTCAGATGGGTGTACATGAATATGATGATGAGAATTGAGTCCATTAATGGTTGAGCTTGGTGGTGATGGTGAAGCTGAGGTTGATGATGAACATGATTGAAAGCATCCAACGGGTGTTGAAGATGATAGTGACGCTGATGCTAGTGTATTTGGTTGAGCTATTGATACAATTTGTCCATTGGTTGATGCAGATAAACTAGGTGATACTGATATTGAACTATTAGGTTGACAAAAAAGCTCTTCCAATGAGTCAAAATCTACAGATAGTGCTTTAATTGTTGGTTTTCCTTGGGCCATTAAGCTCCATAAATTTGGTTGGTTTGATTGAATTACTTTCTGACAAGGAATTTTGGTCCAATTTAATGAGCGCATTTTACTTTTAGGTTTAGGAATATCGAAATTAGTCAATTTGAAATATTCAGGTTCAGAAGGAGTTGAAGCTGTTAGAAGTGACGATGAAAAAGAGTTACTGTTTGCCAGGGAAATACAGGGTTGACTTGAACTCATTCGAGCTGAAGATGATGGTGGTGGTGGTGGCGGCGGCGGTGGTGGTGGAGGTGGAGGAGGAGGAGGTGGCGGAGGTGGTGGTATTGACTGTGGAGGAGGCGCAAGACTCTGTGGAGGACTATCTATAGCTTCTGTAAGTAAACAAAAAGATTGCAGTTAAAAAAATATTGAATTGATAAATCAACAGAAAACTCTGAAGTCAAGTTAACTTGAAACCGTTTTTATTTTTCATGGGAATCCGATATCGATTAACTCACCTTTAATGGGTTCAAATTTGGGTTCAGCTGGTGACAATGGCCGACTATTGTTTCTTGGAAATGGTTTAGGTGGACTTGTTGGAGAAGCTAAATTGAGTGGTGATGAAAGAGCGCTCAATCTTGCTCCAGATGATGGATCAACTGATCCTCTCCTTTTATTATGTAAACGTAATAATTTATCGGCATCATCACGAGATTCAATTAATGTTGTCGCTCTGTGAACCAATGTCGAAGCTGTGTCCCAAATGATTGTTGAGATATCATTTGATCCATAATCAATAGTAAGTAGATGTTGTAATAAATGAAGAAATGGAGTTTCGTATTCTGGTTGCCCTGATACTTGGCGTAAAATTGAGAAAAATATATCCTGGTGTGAATTAACGTCCAGAGAGTCCATATTGTCATCAGATTTTCTTTGCTCTTCAAACAAGTCCATTTGCTTTAACAATTCACCAGTTACACCCTCACGTCTCATCTCGGATATTATATTAAGTAACTTCAAACCAATGAATTCATTTCTAACAGATGATCGCTCCTTACCATTACCAGCCGATATTATTAAACAATTAATAAAGGCCATCAACTTTGTCTTGTATTCTAAATTTTTAGCATTCTGTAATTCATCAACAATTACTTCAAATCGATATCGGGTGCGTTTCAATGCCTACAAAGAAAACAAAGAGATAGTAAATTACTATTGAAGAAATGATTAACTTGGTTTTAACTCGAACTTTTTTTACACTGTATTGTTAAAACCCAGCATACAATTTAATTTTAACAATTAAATAGCAGGAGTTGGCAGCAAATTGAAAGTAAAGTTTGAAAATCTCAAGGTTAACAGATTTCTATTTTTTTCTGGTTTCATCAAAATCACAATTTGAATAAACTGATGGATTTGGTAAGCACAAAAGAGGATTGATTAAATGTTGATTCAAGTGTAACAATGTCAACCACCTACACGATAATTCACCAATATGATCACATTAAACACAAAATATGATGAATTGAACGAATTAATTTTAATACTTTGCAGTTACGATAAAGTAAACAGTTAAACTTGAAACACATGGGTTGTCGTGGTCGCCATACGATAAACAGAAGGGTAAGGTTAATAAAAGAGGTACCTATCAAATACCTTTCAAAACAGCGCTGTGTGGGGTTAAGACCACCATCAGCATTCTTGGCAAGCTCGTTTAGACTGAAATGATGAAGATGAATTTTCCTAATCAAACGAAAATGCTTCGATATTTTAAAACTATTTTCAATTTCAAAATTGGAGCCTCTCTGTTCACGAACATCATTGGCTAATGAAACCAGTTGCTTTAGTTACCATATTTTGTCCCAATTTTAATTCTTATTATTACTGTTATTTCTTTTGGAATTAACTTTTTTACTATTTAACCTTGATTATTCAAATTTAATGTTTAAATTAATTTACTTTGTGAACCATTTATGTCAATCAGTTAAGTATGAAAAATACCTGGTAATGATTAAGAGTTTGCAAAGCTTTCCAATGTCCATCTTTACTGTAAACGCAAAGAGCTGATAGAAGATCAAAAATTTGCTTCTTTATGGTCCGATTGTTGGTATCCAAAGCTGTTAAAATGTTCAAATTTATGAGTTAAAGTGTGATTCAAATGTAAGTTCAATGAAAGTTTATGTTAATTGTCAAGTGAAATACATTAAATGTAATGACAGACAGTATTGCTGTATATCATTATTATGCTTAGAATATCAATGATTTGGACGATTATTTTGTCTATGGTCTGGGCTCAAGGTAGTCAATTGTTAATAATTGCTGTCTCTTTCATATTTCCAATCTTGACTCACAACAAAGATAATGTCAGGAATTAATTTAACCAATTAGTATCACTTTTCAATGATTACATTTAAGGTGTTCACTTGATTTTTGATTGATTGTTGACTTTATGTTGCAATGAATATGAAGTGATTGAATTTTGAATTTACCTTTTGTTTACCAACACCAAGCCATTCGAAGAACAAGAAATCTTTCGATAGAATTGCGTTTAAATATTTGCTTACCCTTTTTTCCCTCTGATGAAAGAAAGTTTATTGACAATCAATTAAAATCTTTCTTTACCTTATAAAAATTATGTTGTCAACAGCTTTTATTTAACCTCAATTATTTGATATGGTAAATTAAGGTTGGTAAACATCTGGTAAATGTGAAATTCAATTTGAATAAGCAATTAGGTTTGAACTTCTGATGGCGACTTTTAATTACTTCATATTTAGAGCAAATAATCAATCAAAATGTTATAAATTAACAATGAAAAATTGACCTTTCTCAAGTCGACTGGACTAACCTGAAGCTAATTTTTCAGCATAATTTGATTCATCACCAATAATCTGTTGAATTCCCAATGAAGTGTCCATAATGGTTTTCAATAGATTTAAAACCTCTAATTGTAAATATGACCAAGCAAATGATGGTAATGATTGTTTATTTGTTTGATTTTTTTCACTTAGGTTTTCTTTATTATGGTCATTATGTTGATCCTCCGAGACTCTGAGAAGATTAAAAAGAAGATCAATCCCATTGAATGGTGAGCTGATGAACGAATTGAGAAGATCAATGGACAAAGACATTTCATGACGAAGTTGAGCCAAACATTTAGCTAATGAAACAGTATTATCTTCATTTGGATTGGTTAGTAAGGGAATTAAACTTTCTAAATCAAATGTTTTCACATTACACTTGGCTGCATTTAACCTCTTCAACTGGTAACTCGCAATCCGTGGATCATTATGTCGAGATAAAAGACCCACCGACGCGATTGACTTTTTTCGTGGTAATCGATTAACAAGTGACCCTAAAGGACTTGAATCAGACCAGGCAACAACCGATGCTGCTCTACGATTTTGACGAGCTAATCGATACTTAGCTTCTTCGGATGGATCCATTGTATCATCAATATCATTATCATCAAGTGAATCAATTTGCTTTTTTCTTCCTCCATCTTGGTTTTGGTTAAGATCATTATCTTTAACCTCACTGGCCTCACTTGATGAAGCCATTTATTGATTGGTGGATTTAATTTGCCGATTATAAATTAACACTTTTCATCACGTTAACATGATAGTTGAATTTGTTTTACAGTTAAACAAGCATAAAGGTCATTAAATTTTAAAATTTCAATCACCCACAATTTAAGATGATTATTGGAGAAGGCTTATAATTTTATTTTTGCTTATCACAGTTATAGTTGATTTAACAGGATTATGAGAGTGTTTCGAGTACAATTAACAGATTTGTCAGTCAACTTATTGTGAACTTTGCAACAAACAGCATTTTTGGTATTGAAAGTTGGTTACAACTGAAGTTGAATACATGTGGAAAGGCATATTGAATGACTATTGGACTGTTAGTAAAGACTTATTAATTAAACTAAATCAACTAACTTTTTTTACCAGAGGAAAATTTTGCTCACATCATTTCCTAGTGATGATGAGAAGAGGAAAGGAGGTGGAGGAAGAGGAGGTTGGTGGTTATGATGACGATGGAGGAGTGAGTTCAAAGAAGTTTGGTCAAATTCAATTTATGCTAAGTCAGGTAATCATTTGATTCTTTGGTAAAGTTTATTTCAAGAGTAGATTGTCAATCAACTGAGGGTAAGGTTAAAGTCAAGTTAAATATCCAGTAATAAGTTGAATTACCAGGAAGGTTTAAAATTATTTACAAATTGAGAAGAGAAACAAATTTACATTGCTAATGATTAAAGCTCAATTGATTTGACATTGCTGTATACAACAGAAACAACTGATGATTATACAATTATTATTTGGTGATTAGGATTGATAGGTTTAAAAATTAACCATCATTGTTATTGACATTGGCTACATTGGTTAATAAATTAGGTAATTGGTGAGTAAATATTGAATTGCAATAATCGTTCATGAAAATAATCCTTGCCATTGAATATTTTAAGGAATCTAACGAATGTTATATTTTGGTAAAGATAAATGACTTACTTGTTTAATCATGTTGAATTGATTGGGATAACCGGTGATCAAACAAACTGTGATGTTGAAAATTGTTGGCTGAATTAATCCAATGGAACAACAATAAGAATATGGTTTGTTAAACAATCATTTGGTTAATGGCATGAGACTTTTTCTTGTTCGTTTACAATGATGGTTCTTTTTGATTATGATTAGTAATCAAAGAAAAAGGATAAGAATATTAAAGAACAGGAAAGATCAAACATAACAAAGGTAGGAGCTTAAATCGATTAAGTGAAAAGTTTTTCATCTTCCTCCGCTAACCTTCACCAAGATTAAAAAGGAGCAACGATTCTTTATATGGTAATGGTGAAAATTAGCTGAACGCGAAAAGTGTCTTAGCTTCAAGGCATGTTGAGTAACGTTATTATCAAAAGATAGTAGTTCGCTGATTTACACGAGAATTAACCACTACAATAGTTAACTTTATTTCTTCTCTTTAAATCATCTAGTAACACCAATTTTACAGGCAAAGCTGGATCTATGATCAATACAACTGAAGTTGCATCTTTGTAAATGTTATGAATATAATTATATACATCAAAATGTTCATTGTGGATATCCATGACCAGCCAGACGATCACGTTGAGTTCGGAATTTAACTGGAGGGGTCATAGTCGTAGGAGCATCGTCCATCCATTCATGATGATCAGGACTAACATACTGTTGATCAGATATGTACCTTTTAGGAGTAATTTTTAACCGAATATCATCAGGCCGGTAAACAGTGTACCAAGCACGGTAACGAGGCATCTGTCGTTGATTAGTGGCCATAAGTTTATCGAGGTAATAGAAATAAGCAACGGTACCAGCTAAGCAATGACCCAAACCAATTATGACCAATGGATGATATTGATAGCATTTCTTTATGCTTAGGACTACTTTTAAATGGAGAGGGAGAGCACGAAACGCAGAAGACGGCGTAGACATCTGAAATCAAAGCATATTAGAATATCAATTTTCGAATAAAATTAAAAAATAAAATATAATTACCTTAATTAAGAGTTAAATTAATTTATTTTCCACTTTTCTATTTCACTTTAATATTGTTAACCTCCAGCTGATAAAAATGCCATGTGCCAGCGCCATCTCTTGTTTAAATACTAAACCAAATTCCAAGAATCTTGTGCTCACAATTGTCAGATTAGTCGTTTTAATTGTTTTGAACAACTTGAGATGGTTAATCAAGTCCAGCAATTGTTTATTTATTTAGATGTTTCTCATAAATTATTGTAAACCAAATCATTTAATAAAAAACGGATTGTTTCATATTCATACATTGAAGAAGCTGACATTGATCAAAATTGGAGTGTGATTATAAATGTGTATTCATTAATAAGTAAATGTTATGTTTATGGTTAATTAAACTTCAAGAAATGTATTGAAATCAAGGGAAATATTTAGATTGCTTTTGCTTAGACAGACTTAAATTTATAAGATGACACTTAACTTACGGTTAAAATGAGAATCGTCAGCTATTTATCCAGGCTTACTGACTCAATTGGAATTGAAACCTTTTATTATTGTACAAATTAATCATTACCAAATAGTGAATAATGAATGCGATAAAAAATAATTTTAACGCTGGTTGTACCTTTAAATCGTTTAATGATTCAGCTCAACCAGATATTGATAAACGGTACAAATTTGAAGTACCTTTTTGACTACACTTTTACAGTCGTATTGAACATTTCAGGAGATATTAATCAACCATTAGTGGTGTGATCTGCAGCTAATTGATTGAAATGAGGATGGCAATTGGCATTAGATTAGACATGTCAAGGTCAGTTGCTTTTTGGCCGTAAATTGGCTTCATCATGGATTCCAGTTCAGATATTGGGTCTTCCTTGAAATGGCATTGTTATGGACAGAGTTGATCCAGCTGATAAAAAAGAATGGCAAATGAAAAATTAAAATCATGCTGAGAATCCTTGATACATTGGTTTGAATCGGAAGAAAAAAACTGGAATATTCTTCCGGCTCACTGACAGTAGATAAGAACTCGTTTAATCACCATTAACTATCAATCATTATCATGTACGTTGACATCTTTTAAACAAGAAAAACAAATAACTAAAAACAACAACAACGTTAACATCAATATAGACAATCAAGAAATATTCAAGTATAAAGTAATCATCTGAAAATGTCTATCTGAAAACACTTGAACAAAACTGAAACAGAAAAGTTTAATTATCTAAGAATAAGTTGTTTGAATCAAGTTATTTTCAAATAATATAAAAATCTCATAACTGATAACGGAAATGGTAAACAACTTGGGTAATAAAGACAGGTTTTTTTATGTTGTTTCAATGTTTACCAATTGAAAATTCAATGTTAACGTGGATGAGTCAAGATATTAGTCATTGATTAACGATAAACAACCTTTTTCAACAAAATTGATGGGTCACATTACGATCTTCTGGTTTAAGTCTTCTTCTCATGGTCATCTGGGTTGGTTGGACTGACATCATTTCTGAGATTCTGGTCTGGAATTGAAAAGATTTGCAGTTAAAAAAGATATTGAACTTTTTTGTAATAAAACTGGAAAACACTTTTACTTTAAACTTGACTCATGGGTGAAGGGTTAAGAGATGATCAACCTCATGAGAATGGTGTAACTGAAAATCCGAGCCAAAAAATAATGAAAAGGGTGAAGTTAAGCGAAGAGAGAAGGATAATTAGGAAAGACTAATCTAGCCTGTCTTTCATTGTATGCAACAGCTTGTCGGATCAGTTTCTTTGGTTTTACTCGCTTATAAGAAATTGATAAAGACACTTCTTATCATTTCGTCATCAAAGTGCAAGACTTTTCTCTTCTTCTTTCTCTTCTTCTCTCTCTCTTTTTCTTCTCTCTCCCTTTCCCTCACTCTTCCGTCTTTTCTTTCTCAAAATAAAAGCCTCCTTCAAAGGTAAGAAGACTTTATTTTAACTTGCACCTTCAACTCAGTTATTTACAAATTTTCGCTTCTCATAGAAACAACTTTTCAACAGTTTCCCCACCGACCATGTTGCCCACCTTTATTTTATTGACACTTCTATCCTCTTCGTATGGACATATACTTCGAATGGGTGACTGTCCCGATGTTGAGGTGATGAGAAATTTCGACATGGACAAGGTAAGTCTATTTTATTTTCTGAACTCTTAGTCACCGTCTTTGTTTACACTCGGAGCTTATCTTTTAACCAAGTCACATGGCTTGGTTTCTGGTCAATCTGGTTATAGTTTATGTTCACTGGCGATTGTATATTTGACTTGGCTTTGGTAAATCAGCTAAAATAATTGTTTTTTTTCTTTTAAATTCCCAGTTTCTTGGAAAATGGTTTGTTCTTCAAAAATTCCGAACAATGAGCAACTGTATGGCAGAAGAGATTACAAAAGATGAAAATGGTGACTATCATATAAGCGAGTTCCTTGTGCCATTGGGAGTCCAAATGTAAGTATCATATGATAAATCATTTGTTTACTTCAACATCGAAAATGCAAACCACAGATATTTTGAAACGATGATAGAAAAATATAAAATTTGAGAACATACTCCATAGCTACAGATATCAATGGTTAAACGATGTACGCTTCTGGTTTTGCATGTTTGAACATTCAGCTTTCATGAAGTACCACTTTAAGTTGATAGATAACAAAAATCAAAATACATTAATTTAATATCAACACTTTAGTTTGATTCTTTGTTCATTACTCAATCTCAATGAAATGGTTGTGAAGTATTAAAAATGAAAACTCTTATTATTTGTTTGTGTTATTATGTACTGAACATTCTCTTCTCTATTTCAGTCATCAAAGAGGAAAAGTTGAATTCGCTAAGAATGAACCAAAGTCCGCTATGAGGGTTGATTATCCAATAAGTAAGCAATTAAATTTTATTACAGTTTTATTTCTTTTGCTATTTTGAAAAATATTCAATGCGTTGTTTTTTTACAACAGCAACTCCACTTGGAAGCCAAAATTATTGGGTCTTGGACACTGACTACACATCTTATGCTGCTGTTTGGTCTTGCCAGAAGATATTGTTTGGCCATCGTCAATCAGCTCAAATAATGAGTCGAACTTCTGATCTTCCCAAAGAAAAGATACGTGAATTGAGACAAAAGTTTGAATCTTATGGAATTAATGAGCACGACTTCAGTTTCATTGACCAGAAGAAATGTGAATCAAACGACAATAAACGTTCCAGTATCAACGAGACGAATTGCACAGGTTGTATTAAAAATTCCAACTTTGCCATGAAAGTTGGACCAGTCCGCATTTTAACCAAACGCCGACGTTAATAAATGTAAATTAAACATCGTTTAACCAATTTGGACAAACATCATCTTCAAAATGGGTGGAACAAAGTATCATCAACTGGATTTGATTGCTAATTTCGATCTCAATTTGTTTTCATCGCTTGATCAATCAATTGTTCATGCATAGCCCCTAATTGCATTAAAATTTTAAAAATTTGAAGTCTTCCAAAACATGCTGTAAACCGTGAAAATTATCAACTAATCAAACCTCTTTAGTCGTGGGTTGAACGCGTTTTGATCATTGTAGAGCCTTCATTTGATTCTTTCAATTGAAGTACAACTTTCAAGTGTAAATGTAAAAAATGTCACAAATTTTGGAGTGAGTCTCCGTTGATTGATACAATCTCCAAATTTTGGTGATAACATCATTTGAAATGAGTTGCCTCAATTTAGTAGACCAATGGACGATTCTGTCACTTCACAGTAGAAAAGATCGCCGATTCTAATTGTCGATGCCAAAGAGTTAATTACTCTACCTAGCGCTTTGGATAGCACATTAATTATGATTAGAATCAGTATAGCTTTTCCCAAAGAGTACCAAAGAGTAAAATTAACTGAGAACTGTAATCATTCCGAATTTCCTAAGTTACCGACTTTCTGATTAAGTGGAATAATTTGATGAACAGTAAGCAGCTTAGGTTTAGAAAAATGAGTTCAATTCTTGATCCAACAAAGAATTGATTTGGGCTCGATATTTCTATGAGGCATTCAAAATGATGATTTAGGGAATTTTGGTCGATCACTTCAACGTGTTTTCGTTGATATATTTATCTTTGTAAAGTTCGGCTTTGAGACGCTTATAAAAAGATTTCATTCATGACAATTCGAGGGTTTGATCTCATTCCAAAACCTACAAACTGTGAGCAAGACTAATAGTTTGAATGATAACCAACAGATGGAAGTATAAGCTACATTAATAAATCGTTGTTGTTTTTTTATTTTATCAAGCTTATTATCATAATATTTGTATTCAAATAGTAAGTCTCAATAAGTCTGATGAAATGATCAATATGATTCAGAACGAGATTTCAATAACATTGCATTATTATAAGAGATTGACCGCAAATATCGCTAAAAATCATCATCAAAACGAGACGAAACAGAGACTAAAATCTTAGCTTTCAAAAAAGTTCGAGCTCCTAACTGCTATCACTCGAAACGGCAGCTTTAACCGAAAGTCGAAGTGAACTTCTGTAAAGCAACAGTAAATTTTGTAATTCACAATAAGGTTTATTAATAATATTTATTATTGAACGCAAACAAAGTAAGGACTTTGTATAATTTCAGTAAGGCATTCAACCATTTCATTCATTTTTTCAAAACCTAAACTCAATTTTGATTCTCTTGTCTTTATAAAAATAACTGTTATCATATTTGATCTAAATTTCAATTTCATTTAGTTTTAATTCCTTCAATAGTCGAAATTAAGGCTTTTATCTCTCAAAAATGAAAATTGTTTAGCAAAAAATTATAGCTTGTTTGATAGTGAAACGCTTCAATAGTATCGACATCTAGAAGGCAGAAAATTATTCATTTTCTTAAGTTACCGTAACCGTTCATTTTTACTAATCGTAATTTCTTTTGTGTCATTTGTTGTCACTGTTAATAGATCAAATCTCTTGTATAATGTTCAACTATTTGTCTCATTGTGAATAGGACTCTGTGTTTACCGGCTGATTCCTCCTCTTGAAAAGTGACTCTCAGCAAGTTGGTGTTGGTAAGTGTTTCTCAACATAACAATGACATCATTAAAGCCATATTTGATATGGTTGCAGAAGAAGGTGTTTTAGATATAATTTGACAAGTATTGATCTTGAAATCACAATGATTATGTTGATTTAAAGAGTCTCCTGTTTCATGGCCTCGTGTCAAAGGAACCCTATTATCAAATGGAAAATTCAATGCCACGTGGTTCGGATTAATTTCTTTCATCTTCTCTTTCATCCCTGGAATCAGCACCGACCAGAAGTCAAGTTTACAAAGTGAAAAAAATCCATGAAGGAATACCCAAAGAGTTCCAATTCAAGTTTGAATGGATAAAATTTGTCCTCTTGATGGATACATTTGCTAGTCAATGGAAACACACGTCTTTAACCAGATTACCGTTGCATGCTTTTCACAGTCTGAATATGGTTTTGTAAGGTATTAACCAGTCCAACAGGTTAAACATTTCCTATTAAAAACTAATCAATGTTTTATTTATTTTTCTCTCACCTATTTCTTTACATAAACATCAAGTGCAGGAATAATCATAAACCAGGAGCCACACAGCAGATTGAATGGCGTTAAATGTGAAGATGAAATATTCAGACAAGGAGATGAGTAGCAAGCAGACTATGAAAGGATGGATTCAAAATGGGAAATTGAAGGCAAAGGAAAGAAGCTGAGGAAATATTTGATGAGATATTGTCTTCCTTTTGTCACCAATCACTAAATAGGAATCAAGTCTTCTGTAAAAATGCGATTAAGATGCTTACAGGATTCAACTGAAAGCTGATATTAACATTTATTCCAAGAAGAATGGCGATGTCACAGTTTAGTCTGAATAATTCTGTCTCTGCTTTTTTCTCATATCTCCTTCTCTCTCCTTATTTCATCAATGGAAGGTCATGCACCATTAGAAACAAGATTACGGTGTTTATGGATATTCACAATGATTACCGCCATTCATGTGATGATAAAAAGAGGAACAATTTAACCATCAAAGAGTGTTGACAATCATCATGTCTTTAAAATGTGTTTCAACCTTTTGCTTTTCATCACCTTCATTACATTTCACGTTACCTCAATCTGAAGAAAGACAAGCAACACCAAATACCAAATAATAATATCTTGAATATGTGAAAGTCTGATGGCAAAATTTTTCATGTCATTGATAATAACACTGACTGGTAAGGTAAACCTGTAATTTTTTGTTTCCCTGGAAGTAACTTTTTTTCCTTTCTTTTTTTTCTTCTTACAGGAAAAGTGACTATTACATGTAAAAAGAGGACTAATTTTAAAGTTAACAACAAATCAAATTATACTGTTAAACTGTATTCTTGGTCTTCAGAGGATTCATTTTGGACAGGAGGCAACAAAAAAGTGAATAAAAAAAGGAAACAGACAGTGAATGGCAAAGTGGATAATCATGATGAATCATGACAATCATTTCAATGATAACAATTGTAACAATTGTCAACTGTTTAACTAATACATTATCCATTGCATTTGAAAGGAAAATGTTTTTAAATAATAGTTAAATTTCATATTATTGTATCATGAAATGCTCAGCTTTTGTTTTAACAGTAATTTTCGATATTTATCGATATCTATCGATATTTGTTACAATACTATCGCTAGTTAAATATTGACATTTGTTAATGAGCATAAGAAAGCAAAAATAGCCGCTAATCTCAACTCAATTTTAAAATGTTGTATAACTAACAATCTTTTTCAATATTCAATATTATTGCTGAATATTTTAACTCTTTTAAATAGTGCAATATCCATGAAGAGGAATGCCGTGAATCTTTAATGTGAAACCTGATTGTCATCTCATGATGGTGAAATTGAAAGTCCTGGATTCAAAGACAGTGAAAAGGAGTAAATAACAATCCATGGTATTAGGTGATGTCTTTAATGATATTGATGGCGCTGATGATTAAATTGTTATCACCAAAGTAACAATATCAAGTGGAGAGATAATTGAAAAGACATGGAAAAAAATGAAAGAGTAACTCAGGAGCAATTATTAATACAACATTGAATCTAATGATAAACGTTTGTTGATTGCTTCTTTTTTTGTTGACTTAACCACTTATATATACATTTCACTGATTAGCTTAACTTCTAATGTTCAAGCAGAGCAGATGATGATGATGATCAAAAAGATGAAGATGATACAAGATCCACAATTGAGTTAACCTGATCAATAGTATTACATCCATGTTGATGCTAAAGTAAACATTGGATCTCGTTTAATTTCCCTCGAGAGTATCAAAAGTATCTGTCGTTTTTTGTGGAAGATGGTGAAGAGAAAAAAAACAAGATTCAGTGAGAAGAGGAATGATGATGATAAGTTGAGAATTACGTTGATTATCATCTAACCGCACACATAATATGATATGATATATCATCATCATTTGATCTCAATGTTTGTCATTTAATAACAAAACAAAGCTAATTCAGTAATCATTTCAGTTAATATGATCTTCCCTTCAAATCAATTGTGTTATATTAATAATAACCATCAATCCTGTATAATCACAATAATAATACAAAGTTGAAGCTTCCATTCAAATTATTAATGAAACAATTTAACTCAAACAAATGATTACCCAAAATAATAAAACATTTACAAAGGTATAAAAAGCTGTAACCAAAAAAAAGTTCAATGTTGAACCAAAACCAGAAAAAAATGTTTACCAATGAAACAAAAAATGATTTAAATGCAAGTCTTGAGTAAATTAAACATTATCAATTATTAATATTGAAACAATTGTTAATTTTTTTCATCATTTTATTGAATTCAATTTTTCAAGCTCAAATTGAAATTGAATTTTCATCAACAATGAAGATACAAAGATCTTTACAAATGTCAATTTTTAATGACAATTATCCAATCATTAATTTACTAAACCATTTAATTTCGCTTCGAGTATCAAAAGTCTTTGAAAATTGTCGAAATTGACTTTTCCAATTTTAATTCAATTTCCAGAAACAATTTCACGATCAATTTAACTCAACTATCGAGTGTTTGTTCATGAAAACTGCATTCAAAAGTCTCATGAAAATATCTATAAAATTGTAATTGAAAAGATAGATTTCAAGAAGAAATTTAATTTCACAAAAATATTGAAATTAAAATAAGACAAAAAATGGACAAATTTCACGTGAAATTGGGCATCAAATTAGGTTGTGATTCAATTAGCGGCGAAAATTGAAAATGAAATGTTCAACTTGGAAGGAAAAGTTAAATAGATTTCATTTTTGATTAAATAACTCGACTATTACAATAACAATTTGTGTTGAAAACGAATCATTGTTTAAAGTGTAAACTCGAGACTAATAACATTGTAGCAACTGGCTTGAGTATAGGTTAAATTAGGGTTTCACTGATAATAATAAGAGGTGGAGCTGGGAAGGATGCGGAGGATGCTCAAAATAGATGTTGGCCCATTCAAAGGATCCTTTCATTTTTGGCTCAACTTTTTGTCTGCTTTATGTTCACTTCAAGTGTACTTTTGTTTTGAACGGTTTATTTTGCATCGGCAACCATTATTGTTGTTGTTGTTGATTGATCAAACCTTTCCAATCAGGAGAAAGGTAAATCACTTTTAGGAGAAAGTTAAAGTCGACCAAAAAAAGATGATTAAAGTTGAATGCAACGATGAAATGTCATCGATTAACCTTGCCAGTCAAGGTTCATCATTTTCTTCCTTCTTCATTAAAGACATTCTCAGTGAACGGCCCTTCAGTTTAACCACCAGCAATAGTAATAGTGATTGTTCCCAAGGAACTGGATTACCATCTTCTTCATCTTCTTCACCTTCACTCTTGTCACCCTCTTCATCTTCACCCTCATCGACAACACCTTCATCCAATCCTCCGACCACCAATGCAACCAGTAAAAAAAAGAAATGTTCACCTGATTCTAAGACCGGGAAACCGCGTCGAGCTCGAACTGCATTCACTTATGAACAGTTAGTTGCTCTTGAAAATAAGTTTAAAAATACTCGTTACCTTTCAGTTTGTGAACGTTTAAGTCTAGCTTGTAACCTTCATCTATCTGAAACTCAGGTAAGAATCTTTCAATTGTTTAAACTGTAAACACAAACACACTTCAAATGAGACAAAACTATTGACTTTGATAAATTTCCTTTCCTTCAAATTTCATTCTAGAGGTGATTTAGTGTTGAATCAATTTTCGTTTCTTCAGTTTTTCTGCTGAATAAGTCAGTGTTATTCAAATATTTCATCCAATTCCCTCAAAAAATCTTCAACTTGTCCAACTTAAAGATCAGTGTTACCCTTGAGAATGATTTGCTGAGCGATTTCGAATGAGTAAAAACAAGTTGATCGCTAATCAAATTTATCAATGAGTTCCGTGTTTAACTCGAACTGAGTCAAGTGTTTTGTAGTCTTTTTCATATTATATGATAATAGTTGTTGTTATTTTGATGCAAAGAAATTGAGAAACTGATAAATCACTTTTGTACGTTAATTTCAATGGGAAACCTGAAATTAGCATTTCTTAAGATCAGTTAATCATCATATTTTAGACCTAAACATTGAAAAATAGACTCTTAGATGAAGTTTAGGTTCTGAAGCAGTAAGGCAAATAACATCTCAAAGCTAAAATAAGATGAACATTGAATGGAGTTCAATTAATGTCCGAAATGCTATGGGATTATGATCATCGAGTTGATGTTTTACTTTAGTCAAAAAACTAAACTCATTGTTTCCAGTAGTTGATCTTATTTTGAAAACTGTAATAACTGGTAATTAACTTTTACCAAATGTTTTTCCATGAATGGAAGAAGCTCTTTTGTTTTCAAACAAAAACTGTTTCAAGTTGAAAGTTGGCTATTTTAGTGTTTGATTTTCACAGATTGTTTGATGAAAAGGACAAAATATTTTGTTTTCAAGTCAACTCTAGACTGTGTCAGTCAAAGTGTTGATTCAAAAGCCAAATTTACTGGAAATTTTCTGCTCAAATCTTTTTCCATGTTGGCCTCAACTTCAACTCTTATTTGGACACAAAAATGTCAACATTTTCCATCATCATATAATAACTCTTAATGATCAACCTTTAGTTCACCAGTTTGAGTGCAACAATTGATGTAATGTAAATGCTTTACCTCTGATTGATATTTACTTTGCAATGTTTACCTTGTGATGTAAGTTAAATTGTCAAAGTAAATGTTACTCTCGATAAATTGGATTAGTTGATTTGTTGTTGACACAACTTTGGTTACCTTTACCTTTGATACCGTGATTTATCGTTTACAATTAATTAAATTTCAAGCAACAACCAAATGTTTCCAATGTTGCTTCAAGTTACAGGACCAAAGTCTTGCAAACTTTTCATCGTTGATTCGACTTCTAAGACTCGGTTACTCGTTAGTTTGCTCAACTTTTTTTCATTGCATTATATTGTTTGTAATTACAATTAAAATGTGAGTTTAACTTTTTTGTCTTTACTCATTTCATGACAGTTAATTACAGAGTCTTAATTAGTTTTACAATTTGAGTGAAAACTAAACAGAAATAAAAAGTGAATTAGTTTTCAAAGGAAACTGTAAATAGTACTTTCTGTTTCAATAAATTGTTCATTCATCACATTTTAACGCTTCCTTGTTATTATTACCTTTCAGCTTTAACTTACTCAAAGTCATCATCCTTGTCTTCATCATTTCTCGTCTGTCTTCATCTATGATTAATTGTCAATCAAGTCAAGGCTACTTTCATCAAAATAATTGGTAAACTTGAAAACAAAGCCATTCTTTCATCGAACTCATTCTTTTGGGTTTGCTTCCAATTTTACGCTTTTGTCTAATAATAAGCATCAATAACAAAGATTTATCTTAATATCAATGAATTATTTTGCATAAGGGCAAGTTCAAAGGTCTGTCATGACATTTCATTATTGAGAGTTACAGAGTTTATTTGGTGAAAAAATTCAGTTCTAATGCTTATCCATTTTCATAGTTTCCTATAAGTTTAGAGATTTAAGTTTAGGCAAGTTGAGCTTAAAGAGTCTTTAAGTAATAAAATGTCGTTTGGACTACTTTATTCTGCTAACTTGACTGAATAAGCGAATAACACTCTTCATGAAATCAGTTTAATATTTTTTATCGATTAACATGAGTTTTTCATTTTTAATTCTCACCGCTAGATTGACCATTGAGTTGGCAAGCTTTTCTGACTGAAACAGACTCAAGTTGATCTAGCATCTCATCTTTTGTTCAAAAGTTCAGAAACATCATCGGGTTATTTTGCATTATTATTGTAACTAAAAATTTAAAAGACGAAACTTAAGGTTGATTTGTTTTTGGATATTTCACCGCCTCAAGAACTGCTTCATTCAGAGGTTAACGTTCCAAGTTTATTCTCTGTTCTTAGACTCTCTATGAATCATTTTATACTCATATTAACCAATATCAATTCCTTTTAAATTTATGATCGGAATAGTCAATTCGATGTTATTAACCATCCAAAGCTTAATGTCTCTCTTCTTTAAAGAGCATGGTAAATATTTTTCCGCACTTAACCGTATAATGACGGGATTTCGCTTAGAGTCGTTCAGTCATAATCCCTTGGATGATAGGGTGACATTGCTCGATTGAGCGGGGACATAAATCTCTGTGGCTCTTCCTGTTATGACAGAGTCTTCTTTCAAAAAGACAAGTCATTATTAGTCAATATTGCAACGAAACATGAGAATCGGTCATTTTTATTACCATCGCTAATTATTCAAACAAATTCTAGGTTCGATGATTTTTTCATCTAAATTTGGTCAACTAACAAAGTAACTTGAACACAAATGAAACATTTTCAGGTTAAATTGATGCACAGTTTTTTCCGTTCAAAGTTCATTAAGTATCATTTCGTTACTTTGCATTATTATCTCTCAAACGGATTAATAAATTCATGAATTTTTATCAACAGCTTTTGTTGAGCCATTCAAAGTGAATGCATGAAATGATTCCCTCAACATTAAACTTGAATCAAAGTTTCAGTTTATCATGTTTAATGTTGAAAATTTAACTTTTCATTTCATCAAACCTTACAAACCATTCAATTTGTGAGTTAAAATAAAATTAAGTCAGTTTATTACCAAATCGCCGCTAATTTTAAAGCCAAATAAAAACCATTTAATCACTAATTTGATTGTTATCAATTGTCTCAATATTGGAAGAAGTCATTTCCCTTTTTATTTCAATTTTCAATGGTTACAAAGTGCTCAAGTGTGTTGCTAATTCTAGTTCTTGTTCAAATGTTTTTTTTCTGTTTCCATTGGTTTTAGGTTAAAATTTGGTTTCAAAATCGTCGAACCAAATGGAAGAAGCAAAACCCAGGAATGGACGCCAACAGTCCAACCGTTCCAGCCTCACCTACTCTCTGTAGCTCATCTGTTGCAACCTCATCATCAACCTCAGGACTTGGTTCCGGTGCCTCTAGTTTCATGGGATCATCCTATTCATCAGCAGCTCTTCTATATGCATCCCAATTGCCTTTTCTCATCCCAACATCAGTAGGCTCATCATCATCAACAACCTCACCTTTCACTGCCCATCAGCACTTCAAACATGCATCAGCTCACTCCTTAATACACCATTTAACCCACTCGTGATTCCCACCACCAATGTTGTTGTCAAGTTCATTTGACCACATCTCAACATCTGAAACTTCATCGGACCAAATGAACCCAAACCCTTGTTTAAAAGTAAATTGAACAAAGGATCAAAACAAAACTCTCATTTTTACAATTAAATATTGAAAAGTTGATTTCAATTTACTTTTTAAACTCCCAATGTAAATACAATCCCAAGCGACAATAAACTCCAAGCAAAACTGCAGCTAAACGAATGTCAATCTAGATTAAACTAAACAATTAGTTAACTGAAAATCTGTTTACTGATTGCATGACTGGGAAAAGCCTGAATCAAGATGCTCAGGTTAATCGATGGTCAAAAGATGACAAGCAAAGATCTCATTTCTTTTCTCATTACACCATTAATTTGTTAAAATGTTATCAACTCAGTCTAATCTTATTTTACTTTATCATTTCAAAATTGTACTTTTAAATGTATGCAAATGTATCAAAATGTATCATCCACATCATCATCCTATCAATGATAAAAAAGAAATAAAGAAAACTCAAAGATTATTTCAAGAATAGAAACAATTTCAAGTTGAACATTTTCTTCATTCCTTGAAAATTCACTGATAATTTACAATGAAAGGAATTAGAAACTCAATTTAGTTGAATCTTGAATCGAGTTTCGTTTCTAATTTCAATACAAATGATAATCGAGAGAAGGAAAATGATAACTGAATATTCCCAGAGTGAAAATTCAAATGAAAACGATAAATGACTCTAATAATGGTTATGGTTGAAGAGGTTACATCAAGAGTAAAGATGAAGGAAAAAGAGGAAAAGTTATAATCGATTGAGAATTATTTCAACTCCCAGTGAATGTCACTTGATAGTCACTCCCAAGTCGACTGTGCACTGGGATGAGGATAAGGAAGAGAAGGATGAAGATGAAAGGGAGCCCTTTTTAAATGCAATTTAATCGAGATTATAAAAGAAGATGTTGAATGAGGATTTTGAAGCTTATCAAAACTCTGTCCTGTTCACATCTATACTTATCCAGTTCATCATCAACTGAACCTTGTTAAGGTGAACAATCGTAAATCAAGGCGAAAGGATAACAGTGAGTTACTCCTCTATTTAGAAGCGCATTGATCCATGAATCTTGAAAATGAACGGCAACGATTATATTAGCAGCTCGATAATCAATCTTGTGAGCATATCATTTAGATGAGCAATTTTTACGAGTTTTTTCTCTTTCTTTTCTTTCGCCTCTTCTCTTGATCCATTTTTCACATTTTCATCTTCTTCTGACTCCATCATTGTTATTATCATTACTTTTATTGTCATTATTATCATAATTTTTATGGACTTGGAATAGGTGAACAACTGTGTTGGATAATTTCACGGTTACCTGGATACCAATTAGAATCAGTTTCAGGCTCAGAATGATCATGATCAACTTGTAATCATAAAGAGGGAAAATTGTTGATTCACATGTTAATCATGTTAATCGGTTATGCCTATTATCAAGGCAATCATTTACAGGGTGAAAAGGGAAACACAATGAGAAGCAATTTACACTCAATTATAAGCTAATGATAATTCATTTAATTTTTTTTTCTTCTTAGTCTTTCATTGCATGATAATTGAAGGCTTAAAGGTTTCATGGTAGTTTTGAATGAATTGAGGTGGTTAATGTAAAAAGGAAAAGATAATGAAGGGAAAAATGGATTCAATTTATTGAAAATATTCATTTGATTAAACACAATTATTTGTGAATCAGCAATGCAAAGAGTTTTTCAATGTACAAGTTCAGATACACTTATTTCGATCTTATTTTTTCAGTAATTGATTTAGAATTGAAATTGAAAAGTGATAAATGTATTATATAATATAATAATTGGTCGGAAAAATAAAAACAAATGTTTAACCATGAAAACGGGAGAAATTGAATTTTGTGTCCTTAATGACATTTTTTACGATTCACTGTGTAATAAGTATAATTCGTTGCTCGGGTATTAAATTGTTATCCATCTTCTCATGTTTCATCTCGGTCAGGGCAGCTCATCATTGATAAAGTACTAGCAGGAGTAACTGGTTCATTACTTGGATTCTCAACGCCAACAGCCCTTCTTTGGTCAAAGGTTAAGCAGAGCAATCGGCTAGCAGAAAGCAGTTGACCCATTATGCTGATACCAAACCAAGTAGCAAATAGACTGCCACTCAGAATGAGATAATCAAACAGGGGAAAATCAGGTTTATACTCAGTTATTGAATCGAATTCTGATGTGGCTAGAAAACGGATATTTATTTGTTCATTGCCACTTGCAGTATCCTGAAGATTTACGGACATTTGAAATGAGTATCGAACTGAGTTACACATTGGTTGAGTCACCAGCGCTAGACAATCCTCGTAAATTTCAAGGGCTGAACTGTTTTGATTGAGATAAGGGGAGTTGAAATGCAACTCAGTGTGCTTATCTAAAGGTACTGCTGTTGCGAAGGAAAGCAATCCCGTTCGATTGAGAGAGTTGTTATTAAGACAATCTTCAAACACTTGACGTCGATCATAGTTTTTACAGCTTGTTTTGTGCGGAGGAGGCAACAAGTTTTCCGTGTGTTTCGTGAAACGAACGCCACACGATGTTTGCTTCCCTTTATTGATAATAGCATAAGTATGTAGACTGCTATCCTCGACCAATGCTTTTCCTGGATAAATCAACTTCATTAACATTACTGTAGCGTTCAAACTGAAGTCTAACAAATAGTTCGAGTTGAAAACAACAGCTTTAGATCGAGATAACTTTAGTGGTAAACCAGAAGAGTCCAAACAACGAAGCACGATTAGCAGATATGAAGCTGAAGCCTTTTTAGTTACCTTACATTTTCCAGTCTCTAAAGGATCTTCTGACGATTCGGACCAATAAATTTTATTTATGAATCTTTCAACTGGATAAGAGTGCTGAGTAATGTCAGACAGCAACAATAAGTGACCGAAGGATTTGGAAAATAAAATTGGATTCGTTAAATGGCCATCACAATCACCCTTAGTAGAGAGCTTACGACAAATAGAATCGAAACTGGCGTTGTATTTTGTTCGTAAAAAGTTGAGATCAAACGCAAATTGATATGGAATCAAGAATCGAACTTCTGGAATTTCAATTTCATTTGAAATATAATTTGTCACTTCTTTACGAACATCGAATCGAAGATAATTACGTGTTAACAAATAGAATTGAAAAGTAAATATAACGATGCAAAAGATTCGAATTGAATTCATCAATATTGTCTTCTTTTCCATGTAATTGGCTTTTCACAACCCAATTAATGATCAATCCAAGTGAATTTAATTTTAGCTTCAGTTAAGCAACTCTATGAAATTGATTTGTGTAACAAAACATATTATATTAAAAGAATCAGCATTTATTATTAACTGAACAACTAATGGTCATTTATCATCTGCCCTGTCCAATTCCTCCAATTGTTCAAGATTGAAATTAATAAATTTGATTCGAGTCAATCGTCATTTGCTTAGACTTTTGGTTAAGCAACTTCTATGAATAAAGATGGACTTCGTTTTGTATTCCTTTCGTTCCTTTTATCTGAACTTTCGTTCTTTTGTTAAATTGATTAAAAAACCATTCAATTCAATCTTTAGTTGGCAACACAATTGACGAAATGATATAAGTTTAGATTTCGTTGAAAAAAATAAGGATTGAATGGAAAATTTGAATCAATATTAAATAAACTAATTGATAGCTTCAATTATATCATCATCGATCAATACTTTTTATATTTCAATGATTGATGTTTGAAAATAATGGCCATTTCCTTCGAGTTTGTGAATTGAAAATATTCATTTAACAGCAGGAAATTAGTATCAAGGCTTTTATTTTTTGCTTACATGTAATCAATAGGAACACTGTTATTAGATCAAGTTTCAGTCTCATCAGTTTGACTGTTGACTGCATTGGTGCATCTACGGCTATAAGCTATGAAAAGCAAGTGATTTGCAGCGAGTAATTGTCCCATTATGCTGAGGCCAAACCAAGTGCTGAATAAACTTCCACTCAGAATCAGGTAATCAGATAATCGAAAATGAGGTTTACTCTGGGTCAAGGAATCAGGCTGTGAGGGTGCAACGAAGAAGAATCTCATCCGTTCTTTACCCACTTCTACATCTTGAGAAGTTTCATGTACTATGTATGAATATCTAACTGAGTTGCACATTGGTCGAGTCACAATCGATTGACATTTCTGATAGATATCAAGTAGTGAACTATTCTTGCCATCAAAAGGTGAATTGAAACGCATCTCACTCGATTGACTGTACTTGTCTAAAGTTATTGTGGTTCCTGGGAAAAGTAGACCTGTTCGTGCAATGGAATTAGCGTTGAGACAATCTTCAAATGTCTTAAGTCGATCATAGTCTTTGCACATTGTTTTGTACGGAGCAGCCAACAAGAGTTCCGTGTGTTTAGTGAAGCGAATTCCAAGTGAAATCTGTTTTCCTTGGTTGGTAGTTTCATAAGCACGTTGGCTGTTTGCTTCAACCGGTGCTTTCCCTGGATAAATAAGCTTCATCATCATTGCCGTAGCATTCAAATTGAAATTCAATAAATAGTTAGAATTGAAAATAACGGCTTTAGCCCGAGATACTTTCAATGGTAAACCAGAAGAGTCTGAACAACGAACAATGAGTACCAGAAATGTAGAAGAAGCTTCTCGTACCAATCGACATTTTCCAGCCTCTAAAAGATCTTCAGTTGACTCTGTCCATTCAATTTTCTTTATGAATGTTTCAGCCGAATATGAGTGCTCTGCTATATCAGATAACAATAACGCACCACCAAACCATTCAGAAAATAAGATTGGATTCGTTAAATATCCATCACAATCATCGTTGTCTGAAAATTTGCTGCAAACTTGATCAAAACTCGTTTTGTATTTGGTTCGCAAAAATGCGAGATTGAACGCAAATTGATATGGAATCAGGATTTGAATCTCTGGAATTTCGATTTCATTTGCAATATAATTTGTCACATCCTTACGAACTTCGAATTGAAGATAATCTTCTGTTTAAGAATAAAATTGAAAAGCAAAAACGACAATACAGAAGATTCGAATTGAGTGTATTAATATTGTCTTCTTCTCCATCTTTCTAATCAAATTGATGATGAGTTTGGTTGGAATCTCCAGTTGCTTACATTTCGATAACTAAACTTAGTTTTGTAATAAAATCGTCATTTTAATAATAGTTAGCGACTTTTCTCTACTTATTCATTTTGGTTAAAATGCACAAAGCATCCAATTCAATCTATAGTTACAAACACAATGGACGAAATGATGAGTTTAAGATTCGTCGACAAAATTATGAAAATAAAGAGAAACAGTTGAATCAATATTCGAAAACTAATTGCAAGTTTAAATTTATTATGATGGATCAATATTTTTATGAAACGTAATGATTGATGAATAAAAATAAGACCATTTCTTTGATTTTTTTCTCAAATAAAACACAATAATATAGACTTTAAAGTACTTTTTGAA